GTGTTGCAGTTTTGCTAGTAAAAATTAGAAGACAATAGAAAAAAATTGTTAGTACACATCTCAGAAGGAAGATTCACAGATTACTACTATCAAATATTAATATACCCATAATATATGCATTTCAGTCACTTATACTGCAATATTCAGAGTACAAAAGTTTACTCTAACTGTGATTAACAAGACTGTTTCACTTGCTGGTGCCATGCTGCTTTTGTGATTCCTATTTTAGCTGCCTCGCATACCTGAGCTAAGTATTAGGAAATGGGGATAGAAACACTGCAGCTTCAACTTGAGTGGTTGCTAAGACAGTTAGGACCAGCTGACTAGACTGACATCAACTAGCCTCTATAATGAAGTTTTGTTGGCAACAAGGTTACAAATGCTATGCCTGAGTAGTTTCTCATTGGGGGTAACAAAAAATTATGTAAACTGTAGATGTGTTTTTTCTACACTATTCTTAATTTATCTATGATTAATAGAATATTAAGCCTATCAACTTTTAGTGCTTTGCTAATTTTCAGCTTTTAAACTGTAACTTTTAAAAATAAAATACTACTTTCAACATAAGCAGTGGAGTACTGTCGCCTTTGCACAGTCATGCAATAGTTAATTATGACATGGTTACAGTTAATTTTAGAGAAAAATAATGTAGTTGCTAGTAGCCATCACTAATTTACTAATGGAAAACAAAATCAACCACCAGAGCTGGACAATTAACTTAAATGATTACCTAGAGGCATTGAATATATCAATTAATGTCATGTAAAATAATCAATTAATCAAAGTTATGATTAAATTGATTAATGTCACAAAAATAATAAACTAATCAAGTTTAGTGTTTTCAATTGTTCCAACTATCCAAGTATCATGTGAGAATAATATATTAGTTGAATGTGATTGACTAATTAATCCAAAAAATTCATTTCACTCACTGCCCAAATCTAGCAACCATACTAGTACTTTCAAAACTTAAGAGCAAGGCCTGTAACAAGAAATGAAAAGGAATATTTCCAATAGGCTAATTTAGCATCTTATACAATTAGTTAAAAAGCAAGTCTAAACCTAAGAAAACCTCAAGCTAAAAATTAAATTACACTTCTTACTTTAGACTTCTCTATGTAACTGATAAGGGCTGAATAATGACACAAGTTATGTTGACAACTATTTACTATGTTATTTATAACGGGAAATCACATTTTAATGATTTTAATGTCTGACTGTGTTTGTTTTATTAAATTGATACTAAGTGAGAATGTAGTGTGTTCATGTAACATTGTTGATGTCTTATTAGTAACCTTGGTAGGAATGTACTGTGTTCATGTAACATTGTCTATATGTTATTAGTAACCTTGGTAGGAATGTTCTGCAAAGTTCGTATTAGCTGTAATGTAGCCCTACTGCATCAGTTGTTTCTTCTATATAATTTAAATGATGTAGTCTGTTGAAAATTTGACAGATGTATAAAAAAAAATCAATGTTTATGAAATTATTTCTTACATTTAGAAAGTAATTACCTAGTCTGTAAAAAGTCCACCTTAACATAACCCATGGACAGTAAGGGTCCATCTGGTCCTTCAAGGCTGTCATTACACACCAACCCTTGTTTATTCTTGTGTTCATTTTATTACAAGCCAAAGTAATAATTCAGTGAAGGATTTTTAAAATTTTTATTAAATATTTAGCCTACTTTCCTGAACATTTTGAAAGCAAAGAAGATTTTTGTATGCAAGTATATGGCTTTTAAAGTGAAGTGCACACATTGACAATATTAGGAATATGGCTTCCAACTGTCAATAAACCCATAAATAGCAAAGAATATTAAAAAGCTAGAATTCAAGATACTTGTATAAATATAAATAATCAAAACACTAAATTATTAATATTTTTTAAGTACATGATTTAAAGAACTGTATCCTGAGACCACTTAGTCTCAGAATACAGCAAAAAGTGTTTAATTTTAGTGACATTATTAAAAATAGTGTCAGTTAAAACATGCCACTATTTCTCTGTATGGCAATAAAAACAAAATTTTGTTGATAATCCTGGTTAAGAAGCAGAAGTAAGTTATCATGTTTGTCAACTTCCACATCAACAGGAGGTCAAAACAGAGAAAGATTTACTTTATATGGTTCATGTCCAAGTAATTAATGAACTCTTACACTGATATGGTTGTAACTAGTACATCTTACAGCAGTAAAAAAAAACGACAAAGAGAGCTATCTACTTGTTATGGTTATATTTCGGTTAAAATGCCATCTATCATACTGTTAACCATGTTTTCTCATGTGACTTGACTCCTACATGAAAAGCATAGTGTGAAATAAAGAAATGAAGACTTCAATTCCATACTCATGTTGTAATTGTATTTCTATAATTAGACCAGTATGGAGTTTGTGATATACTTTTTTCAGTATATGATTAAAAGGCAAGAGTTCCATATGGCACCCTCACTCAATTTAAAAAAAAATTCATCAAAGTAATATTTATGTATTAATAAATCATATTAATAGTATGATCTGATAATTTTAATACATTATTATACCACTTACTTCATTAATTAGATGTACAATCTTCTCGGGGCTAAACTTTACAAATGTCTTGTATAAAGGCATCAAAAAGGCTACTTCTATCAGAATATAATGTTCTCCACATGTATTCACACAAATGCTTGTCAAATGTCTTTGCCCTGGTATGTGTAGTTGGTAGTTGTCTTTTGACAATACGCCCCTTAAAATAAACCCTTTTCAGAATCTTTTTTATCCAGGCAATTCTACAATTTTTGGGTGGGGGTGCCATATGGAACTCTTTCCCATTTTTATATTATACATTGATATTTTGATTAAATGTTAAGTTTGTGTTCATATTCTTTCTGACCTTATACATAGTCTGATTTTACCGTTTGTAAATCTTACCACAAAGTACAAGTTTTCAAAATTCCGCTTCATTATATACATTCACATTCTACTTGTAGAATTATATGTTTGTTCTCACATGTTTTGCCATAGGAACATAGAAGTGCTTAGCAATGTCTCTCACACAGTAGAAACATTTTCAATTACAAATGTGAACCGTATTAGTACATTTTCATATTAATTATAAACATTTCTAAAATTTGTTCGTACAAGTAAGTACATAGCAAGAAACTGTTGTAGTTTTACAAACAACAGTAGAAAAACTGCTCTAATATGTGTTCATGTAAAATATATACTGTATACAAATAACACAGGTCTGCGAATTTAAACTCCATAAAAGTTGTTTTGGTTTTAATAATGGATTCTCCATAATTCAGCTACACAGATTTCGAAAATACTATTAATTTTATTCTATCACGTAAGGATTTTTTTACAAATTGGGAAGAAAAAAACTCTTACTTAGATCAAATTGTTATTTCATTTACCACAATGAACA